ATTACACAAAGTGGGAGAAACCAATATTCCAGATATCCAGAGAGCAGCTGCCAACCATTTCAGGGAGGCAGGGCGAGACGTTTTAAGATCACTTAGTCTGAAAAATGATTTCATTGCATCGAAACTTTAAAGACCCTGAAAACTTATTTTCTCAATCGGCTTTGTGAAGCATCTGTTGGGGTCTCAAAGCAAAAATGCTCAACCAAAGTTGGAATGCTTTTTGTTACTCAACCCGATTTCTTTTTTTGTTTGAGCTTCTTCTCTGTATTCTCTGTCATTTAAAGTGGGGATCAGTTAGAAAACGGGGGACTTTTTTACTTAAAAGGATTAGTTATTTACTGAGAATTATTAAATAACAGAGGCAGATGCTCCAAGTCAAGCAGCTTTAAGGAGTATTGTGTTGTTTCCTCACCAGTGTCAGCACCAGTTTGCTTGAATATATTTGATGGAATTTGCATTAATTTAGTTTCCTGCAGTAAATTGAGACATTTTACCTACAAATGTGTTATATTGTAATACATTTACCTTGCTGGTAAATGTTACACTTAAAGGTGTATTAAATGGGAAAGGCTTCTGATTCACTCAGGGGAGAAGGTCCATCTGGTCGTGAATTTTATTCAACTCTCTGTAAATGTGAGGCGCAATAAGCGGTCAATTTTTACACATGTGTAGACGGCCTCCAATGACATTTTATTAAATTAGCCTAAATATGCAAATACCTCTAAAGCATTTTGCTACCTATTTAACACGTCACATTTTAAAATGACATCACCTCTGGCAGCTTTTCCACTGCATTCCTTCCAGTCTGTTATTCTCACTGGGGCAACAAGTCATTGAGGAAATGCACAATTTATTGAAATTTTATGGAAAGACCCCTACCCCCTTTCACCACCGCACAATTACGTAAAAGCCATGTAGCCCTTGAGTAACCCTTTTTATAGTGATTCATTTATGACTCTGGTTACGGAGGGGATGCCTCTCCTGCCACAAACCCCCTAAAACATGTGTGGATGGCATGAGGATGGAATTCACAATGCACTGAAGGGCACAGCTTTCATCAAGACACTCTGCCTTCTCTCCATAAGCACGTCGTAAAATGTTCCATTGCTCTTTTACTATCGACTTTGTTTCATGCCAAAGTTGTACGTTTTATTTCATCAAAGAGGAATGACACAAGCAGGGCTCATTTGGGTATTTCACAATGCTTCCCCTCGATAGAAAACATGCCGTGCAGATGTGTCATTTCAGTGAGGGGGGGGGGGGCATTTGAGGATGGGCAAACCGAAGAAGCCGGAAAACGATGCGAAAGACAGACAAATGAGACAAAAAGATGAAGTGAGTGGCTGAGAGCCGGCTCTAGTCTCTCCCGAGATGAGTGTGATGATTGCACCCACATTCTACTGCAGAGTTAAACCCCTTGGAGGCTTTGGGAATGTGAAAACCTACTTCTTCTCTGTGTAGTACAACACTTAGGCCACTTTTTTTTCTCCACCCTGAACATTGCTCACATCGTTGTTCCCTGAAGCTTGAAAGCAACAACATTTCTCAGCCAGCAACTCCCACTGGGACTAAAGCCCAGGGATGGAAATGCAAAGGATATGTTTTATTGGACAGTTGCAGACAAATAAATCTAAATATGTATTTTGGTTATGTTTGTGTGCCGACTACATCCTGAGGGACTTGAAATGATTATATGACATAAATAACAGCGCTGTAGCATGATATCAGGTCACATGTTTACATGCGTGAACCTAAGGTCAGGCAAGAAAATAATTCAAACCCCATTTCTCTTCTTTTGATGTGAACATTGTTTTGATCCGCGGGGCTGGGAGCCATGTGCACGGACTATTAATGAGAGATGGAACCGTGCAGTCAGGTCAAATATACATACTTAAGTGGATAAAAGTCATAGCTGCGTTGAAGCCTGCCAGCGAGGCACAAATCAACCTGTCCTGTGTGTGTGTGTGGGGGGGTCACCCTGAATGAAATGGTTTAGGCTCAGTGATCTGCGTGAAGGGAAGTCAATGGGAGGTGTCAATGAGAGGGCAGGCGGGGGCTCCAGCAATCATCCGTCCTGTGACTGACATGGCCTAACCTGGGGGGCTGTGTTAGACGCCGACGTAGTGCAGTCCCCTAATACGTCCTCGGAGGAGCACCGTGAGTTATGGGCAAAGTCTGTAGGTCAGGTGACCCTATCTCTTTGACATAGACGCTTTACAGGACTTTATTTCGATTGAGTGGATTTCTTTATGTTGGGATGCAGTTTAACTGAGTATTATGAAATAGTACAATCTGATAAAGTATCATAATCCCTTAGTTTGGAGTTAAAGGAGAACAGACAGAGTTCCAGAGCTGCTTTCACATCACTAATGTAACAGCTAGTGCCATTGTTTATTAGTACGGGCATATCCTATGTCCCATCTAATAAATGAAGTTGATGGAAAATGTTATTCTGTAAAAGGAAATTGCCAGAAGTGTGCCTAACATGACACATATTTTTCAACATTGCAGCATTGTTAAATAGCCTATACCTGTTACAAGTCATTTAGGTAACTATTGTACATACATTTTACAGCTCGGCTACGTTTAATTTGTCTTATGTGGCTAATTTTCTAATTAAATTTGAAAATGTGTCTAATATTTTAACTTCCCTGATTCCCCAAATTCCTCTGCAATAACAAAGAAGGGAAAACAGAGCCCTCTAACTTGTGTGTTTGAAGGTAGCGCAAACTTGGGGAAATAAAAGTGGCGGCCTATGGCAAACTGCACTTCAGAGAATCCAGCCTCCTTTTTCGTTCCTGACACATGTGACAAGTGAGCCATGCAGCTTTGCAGAATTATATAGCTGTGTGTCTAATTATTTCTTTTCAAGTCCATACAATAAAAGACTGCTTGCTTTTCTGTTGCCTGGGCCAGGACAGCAGGAGGAGTGCCCTCCAAAATATTCTCTCTCATGCCTCTGACATGCACATCTGTCTGCACGTCAGCACAGCAACTTTCTTAGACTGCTTTGGTTTTAATGAAAGGGATCTGGGAGCTACAAATGCAATGGGTGCAGTGATGACACATTTCAATTGCATTGTGCAAATAGAATCCCTCAGACTTTCTTTTAATCTGTATATATTTCTTCAATTCTTTTTTCTTTTTTTCATAGTTCAAACTACAGTGAGGATGTAAGACAATTGCCCTTCAAAACAAGTCATACCACACAGACTCTATTGTCATTAAGGTGTGTTACACAGAAACCAGCGCACAACAATGGACGTTATTGTAATATTGTGATGTTGAAAAATGTTTACTTTATTCTATTTCTTTTTGAGATTCCCTCCCGTCTAAACATGGGGTTCTTTTGTTGTTTCTCCAGTATTTCTTGGGGTGAAAGATGGCGGTTAGGAGAGGATTCTGCTGCAGTGCGGTCACAAGGGGGTAGCATTGACACAGTTGTTTAAGCCCTTTAGCCGGCAGCCCAGCAGCAGGACAAACTGCTTTTGATGTAATTGAGGTCTTAGACCTCTGAGAAAAGCATATATTGGTTTGTGTGTGGAAATGTTCAAGGAACAATGGATTTCCATAAGTGGATGTAAAATCGTATTTGGAGCGTCTGCGGCATGCTAACCACTCTCTAAACAATAAGAAAAAGGACTCATTCCGGATGGGACGGGTAATTCCAAGGCACTTACGGGCTGGAAATGTAATGCAATGTAGCATTAGGATTAAGTGTGTGTCTGAAAAAATACAGCCTTGACTAGTTTTGGGCCCTTTTATAGATGATTCATTCCAATAAATTTGGAGATATTCTCTGTTCTGAACGGCAGGACTGTGCATCCTAATAGAAGCAAACAAACCCCTTTGTCTCTTCTTAAGGGGATTTTAGCTGAAGTAGATTTTTGGACGATTACTTAGAATTACAAATATGAATATTTTTTTCTCTGCCTTATAAAAAAGTGAGAGGAAAGCCAGATTATGACGTTTGTAGATTAAGCTGTTAATTATCAATCATTCCATGGCCACACAAGTATTTCCCTAACTAACAATTTTTGTCCATCCATCTTAGTATCCAAAGTAATACTTAAGAGTACGAGTCTGGCAGGGGCTCATAAATAAAGGTTACCTATTTACATATTCAGTTTATCATGAATATTGCATACTCTGTACATAAAAATTCAAATGCAGTGTTTATGAAATATGATCATGCAGCAAATGCGAGAAGACATAGAGCACAGCCCATTCACACACAGAGGGGATTTAGAGCAGCCCTCTGTGATTAATAAGGAACTGAATTAATCCCAGCTCAATTACTTTTTGTCTTGATCTCAGCTTTTCTTTTAGAAAAATTAAACTTATCAGTAACAATAAATATTTTAGAAAAGCCAAGACAAAATTTGATAATTCACTATTGTTACATCAACATTATAGATGGATTAATCTCCCATTAAGTGAGGGATGTATGCAAACCTTTATTTGTAACTCACGTACGCAGTAATTCAGTATGAAAATAATGACAGCTGCATTCTGTTTTCGACTTAATTCTCAGTAACCATCACGTATACTAGACAAAGTCAAACAAGTAAAAGTTCATCAAGCCAAACACATTAACAATATTTGAATATGCCATGTTGTTTCTCATCCAAGGAATGTTTTAACAAGTGAGTGCAGATATATGGACTGAACAATATCACATAATATCATATGCATATATGTAAAGTAAAAATGTGTACTAGAATTCTTAAACTCACTGCTCATGAAATACATATAAATGAGCACAGACACAAACCCTGCAGACGCAAGGGAGGCTCTTTGGTTTGTACTTAAACCAGCTGAGGGGAATAATGGTACAAAAACGCAAACACTGTGCAGCAAGTGTCTCATCTTCTCTCATGAACTAGTTAACCTGAAAGAATACGATCTACAAATGTGTTTCAGCAAAAGCAAATTACCTGGGTTTTGTGGAGGGGAACTAATCTCTCCAAGCATGACACTGGACAGGAAAGGCCTCTTACTGTTATTATGATGTGTCGGCTTGTGTTAGATGGAGGGCCCTTGATGGCCGCATCAGGAAGGAGCATCGGAGCTCCTCCACCTTGACAGCCCTCTGATGGATGTACAGGTGGTGGAGGGGCAGGGGAAGATGGAGGTTAGAGAGCTGCAGATGAGGAGAAGGAGGGTGACATGAGGTGCTGTTGGGGGGGGGGGGGGGGGTTACGCCCCAAAGTAAAAAGCTACAAATACCAAGCATTAGCTGTATAGGGGGGAGGATGTGAGAAAACATAAGAGTGCGCCAAAAAGCCTCCATTCCACAGGGCCTCTCTGAAACAAATAAAGGCCCCGTGTGGTGAATTCTGACTATTCCTGGTGCTGCGGGAGTTTTCTCCTCTGGATGATTGGAGTGATTACAGCAAATTTGAATATGATATAGGGAATCCAAATATGTGTACATCAACGTTTGACACATTATATATCGCCCTCTATATTCTTGACATCATATTAAACAGAAAATAATTATATCTATTAGCTGATGTGAATTTAAGGAATGAAGGGAAACGTGGCATTATCTTATCTGTTGCCTTCTTATAGAAGTTATGTGTTTAATAATACAATAGAATTTGGAAAAATAGTGTGTGGATTGTCTTTGAGTTAAGGAAACAGCCTTATTCTTTTTGAACTTTATTCAGCTACTCTACTAATATTAAATTAGTGCATTATAGATGGTTCTTTCCACAGCAGCCTCACAAGCTGTACGCTGGTTACCACCGTCTCCAAGTGTGTGTCACTCCCAGCGCAGTGGTTTGTTACACACTGGTGGGATGGAGGGGCTGTAGACGGGCACTTGTTGGTGTATGCTTTATTATTCCCTGAATCGGAGAATTATCTCACGGCTGGAGGTGTTTGGCACCCAATGCCCATACTGAAATAACAATATCCTGTTCTTTCTCCATGTCATGCGAGTTGTAATATCATTTCTGGTTTTAGACGGCATTTCACCCCGTTAACATCGGTCCCCTGGTTGCTCCTCGTCCTGCTCCTTTTGGGAGACAACGGCTTGGGCGTCATGGTGGGAGATGGTGCTCCTCCTGGTAGAGGTTGGGGGGTGTCGACGCTCAGAGGTACGGGTCTTCTGAGCTGCACGCGGAGGAGGGGGGTCTCACCGGGCTGCAGTGCCTGGCCTACATCCATCTCTGTACCTGGGGAGATGAATGGAAGAATGTGACCCAAACAGTCCAACATTACAGCCATGGCGTGTTCCAACAATGGGGTTCCCCCGTATCATTACTAAGAAATGAGACACGCTCTACAATTAATTCTAACCCTAAATTAATGTCTACTGCTTGCTGAATGCCTTTCTCTGGCAATAGAAGTAGATTAATAGTGCAGAATGGGAAAAATAATCTTATTCGGTACCATGCTGCACCGATATAAAATGAGCTTCAATGCTTGGCTCATTTCTTGATCAACACTTTTTTTTTCATCTTGCAAACCCTACTTTTTTTTCAGCCTTTATTGTATAAAATGGTGTGATCTTTCCACTGCCCTTTGTCTTGGAAGAAAAATGAATTCTCATTTGCATTACAACGTCTAAATGTCAGCCACCGATATTTTGTTAGACATTAGTAAAGCTGGCAGCGAGAGGCGTTGGATAATTGCACTCAGCCTAGCAAAGGGATTTACATAATTTCAGATAGCAATTAAAGAATCCTTGGGAATTTTCATCCAGGCTTCTCTTTCCAGCTGACTTTTACGGCAGTACAAAAGAAGCATTCGTTTACATTAAGCTCCATGCTCCTCGCGGTTCATTTGCATGAAATTAAAGGTTTTCATGATCTTGAACAGCGGGGTAACATTTAAAATGCTGTTTTAAAGCCCTCACCTTGGAATAATGAAACACTTCTATTTTTTTCAAAAGGCAGTGGGAGTTCATTGACTGCTTGTCCACTGTAAAACTTTTTTCATTTGCCATTCACTCACACAATATTGTTAGATAATGCTTTCAATTAATTAAGAATACAACTTTTTTTCAAGGTCCCTTTTTTCTTTGATCTGAACGTGCATCCCACCTCACGTCTCATTAAGCCCTTTAAATATGAACTGATGAAAGAAAAATCACTTTAAAATGCATCATTCAAACGCATTACTGAAATAAGAAACTGAACATACACTTAATTCTACTTCCTGCCTCCTTGCCGTGATAAACCGGTGCAGGACTTTCACCAGGGCTGCGAAGATAAAGCTCTCATGTACAGTATCTTTAATTAGGTCCCTGTGGGTCCCAGTGTTATCTTCCATGCTGATTAGAATGAACATTAACTCGCTTTAGCCCTAAATCTGATAATAAGCATCGGTGTGTGCTGACAAGAGTGAAAAAACATCCAATTGGAATTTTCTTTGCAAACTCCAATTCCCCTGTTTTTGTGCATATGATCTTTCTTTGAGCCATTACAGGTATTACTTTGCTGCTAGGAGCAGGAAAAATCACATTGCTTTAAATCCTTTAAAGATAATCAGGATTAGTTAAACCCAAGCCTTCTCTTGGGAGGTATGTGGCGGCTAATTCAATGTGCATATTAACAGTATTAGCGGCTTGCCAGCTCTCACGTTTCCAATGGAATAGAACTAAAATCTAAAAAAAACATCCTGATGAATAGAAGGGCTTTGTTAAGACAGTGAAGCTTTTGTCACAGACCTCAGAAATAAATACAAAGCCTCATCTGAACAATACCCTTCACACTTCTTCCCTGATTCCCCTTACATCCTTAAAGCCATCAGAGAACATTTTCACACTGGTCGTCCCATCGCTGTGAAATAAATTGTGACAGTAACTCAATATGAAGTGAAATAGCTGAGAAAGCCTTGAGTTCACTTGCGCTGACAGTGCGGTTTAATTCCATCTTGTGCCAGTCTGACATTTCTGCTGCCACTAAATATTAAACATGTGTACCCGTTTCATTTGCATCTGGTAACGAGGTGGTGGACGGCGGCCCGGCCGGTCGGGCCTCGCTTCCTCTCGGGGTTCTGCGTCTTTGCTACCTGGACAAGGGTAGACCAACAGAAATATTTAGAGTGGAAAAAGGGAAGAATGGAAAAGGGAAAAAAGGGGTTGGGTAGGGGGGGCGGGGAGGGGAGGGGAGGCGTAAAAGACAGAGCACCTTTTGTGTGTGTGTGTGTGCGTGTGTGCTCTCCGGAATTCAGAATCCAGTCTGAAATGACCCCGGCTCTCAAGCAGTGTCTGCTCGGGCTGACATTTCTCCCTGAATCTTTTAAGATGCATCCCTTGCTGCAAAATGCATTAGCAGAGAGAGGAGAAACAGAGGCACGAGAGGAGAGGGTTAAATGTGATTGCTCTAAATGTCATCACATCCTCATAATGCAATATATATTCATGATCTGGCGGTCCAGGAGGGCAGACATCACAGTTGTGTTCTGTAATTCAAATGTTTTATCCCAATTTTGATTCTCCAAACATTTCAGGGCAGATATTTGGAACCAGGGTGCGCATCCTTTTTTTAGGGGTATAATACAACTGGATAAAGCGCAGGCGTCTGACGCCAGTGTTGCATGAAAGGACACTGGGACGGTCACATACTGGGGCAGGTTGTATCTACCATCTGCCTTCTCTGAGCAACCAGTAGTGATGGAGGGAGGTGTTCTTTCATTGAAGACGCTAAAATGATTGTTTCATATTAGCGACGGCTCAAATGAACACTTGTATGTGCACATGAGAATAATCAGTTGAGTCCCTTTAGCTGACTGTCTGGGTTTTCGGGCACACTTTCACTGCTTTCAGATCAATGTCCGACTTTCCTTCAGGAATGTGTGGATCTCTCAAATCAGCCATAACAACGTAAATGGTGATAATATGTTGGTTCAGTTTGTAGTTTAGTTCCGCTACAATATCAGCACAAACATATGAGTGTTGAAATACATTGGACTCTTCGGATCATCACTGAAGCATTCATTTCTCAGGAATTGAATGGTGTAGCTTTTAAAAAGTACCTCACAATTATTCTGTGCTTAAACATAATGGCTCATTTTCAAAAACTGAAAAATACTGTAGGAATATTAAATAAAATATATTTCCTTCAACTTGGATGACATATTTGCCTTTTAATGGTGTTATGTTGATGTGGGCAAGTTAATAAAGGCTTATGTTCATGTCTGGTACGCAATATTGATTCTGCATTGTGCTCTCCTCTGTTTTCAGAATAGAAAAGTCAGGTTTTCTGATGTTCTTGAAATGAAAGCACAAAGTTCCCTTTTCTCTTTGAAAAGAAGTCAACACCGGTGAGAGGAAACTTCACACGTTCATTTTGCTCGTATGACTTCTCAGGTACGGATCTTCTCTTTGCGGCCAATGTGAAGCGGGGCGGACACACCTCTGCCGTTGCCCTGTTCGCCGTACCGCTCTGCAACAGTTAACGTCTGGCGACACCCTGCCTCCCTATGAGGGCACGTATCGCTTTCATCAAATATGTCACAGGAAATCAAACCTTGATCAAAACCCGGGCTGACTGTCGAGGAACAACAAGGGAACATCAAAGCGCTTACAGTAGAAAAGCATGGGCGGTTGAAGGTAGGTTTGTGTGGTTATTGTGTGTGTGTGTGTGTGAGCTTCTTGTTAATTTACTTTATAAGAGTCGTTAAGCTCATTCAGCAGTCATCCAGAATCGTGTCCACTCCAGGGCCTCCGGTGGGACTGCGTGTCCTGAGGTTTACTGTTGCTAGCCTGTCATGTCCAACGTCAACAGCACTTATCGCCTTTTGTCTGAGTGCTGAGACATTTCCCAGGCATTTAGCTGCCTGTTTGTCTTCTCTTGATTCCCCCTCCAAATCTGTCACATATAGTCTTCACCTGACACCTCACAGAGCGTTCCTCTCTCAAACACTGTCAAAATAGAGAGATCCAACGGGAAGAGATAGCAGCGGGGGGGCCACAAATTGCCAAATGTTATACAATGATCAGGCGCTGAAATTCATGACCTGTGTAGGCGGAAAAAACCCGTCTGGGATCATTTATTTCATCAACTCGCTGACTGGTATGCAAATGACCCAAAAAGGAACAGTTTGTGTTCACAGTTCGTTTGGACTGCGAGTTATCAAGCGCTGCTTTATGCTGCTCGCACATTGTGCTGTTTGTCAATAACGGCGAGTTACCGAGGCGCTCTGTGTCCTTTTATTTCTTGGAGTGAAAGCGCTGGCATGAAAACAATGCACTTCACAGTGAAGGCCTGGCGTAGAATCAAATACTTCTCTTTGGGTGCTTTTTTTGTTGTTGCCTTTTTGCCTTTTTTCCCTGACGAACCCCCCCCCCTTTCTATTCTTTCAATAAGCTCTTGGTTTTAATACATTATTGATCTTAAGGTTGAACTATGGGCCACTGCATTACCAGGATTCTAAAGCCCATCATGGCATGACACTCATGTACTTGTGAAAAATTATACCAATTATGAAATCATCCAAAAACTACCTCAAACAGCAATCAATTGTCACATTGGAAAGCATTTCGTCCAACAATGCTATTGGCTTTGTGGTTGCAAAGAAGGAGTGGGCGTTGGATGTTTAATGACTTCCAAATGTTGTCTCCTCTCTCTCTTCTTTCAAATACTTCTTTCTATTCTCCCTGGGAAGGTTTTGCTCTGCAGCAAGCCTTCCATTCTGTTTGACGCTGAACGCTAAGCGACCGCGCGCCAAGAAGACAATAGCATTTTCCCATTGATTCGCCTTAATGAGCACCGAAGGCGCCACGCCACTACGTGCACTTAAAAGGCCGCGTTAAGGCTATGAATTCATCTACAAGCTGTATGCCAGCGCATTACCAACACATATATTCATTCGAATGGGCCGCAGAGCAAGCTGAAGGAAGGGAAGGGGGGAGGGGGGCGGGGCCTGAGTGCTTGCGGGGTCAAGTGCGAGCGGCGTCTCTGACAGTGGCTGCCTGCCTGTGTTTCCATATCACACCGTTCCATCATGCAGTGCCCTCATGCAGAAACCTTTAACTCCATGCTCATAAACGCAGGGAAGCAAAGCCTCCTGTCTGCTGCAGACAGGTTGTGTTATTTATTTCTATTTATTTGTTACACCTGCTGATAAAATGTGCAGATTAGAGAAAAATCCTAAACAGTGCTATCCACAGAACACTCTATGGGGGGGATGAAAAAAAACTACAATTAAAGCCCCCTTTATTGTTTCCAATCGGAGTCGCCGGTGTGACATCTAAATGACATTTTAATGAAAATTCTAGACAGGTTATTTTGAATAGTTTCCTAAAAGATGCAGAAGGTTGAGCGGTGGTGAATTGCAAGTGTCTTTGGGGGAGGCGGAAGGGGGGGGGGCCTTGGTGTCTTGACGGGCGACGGAAATCTGAGCCAAATAAATGAAGTGGAGATGGTGATACAGTGTGTTACAGCGGAGAGTGACAAGCCCGTTCCTCCCATGAAGCAGCTGAGCTGGCATTAAACAGACAAGACATCCCATTCACTCAGTTATCGGCCCAGGAATAATGAAGGAACGGGCCGGCAGACCAGGACGAGTCACCCCAACCCAGCCAAGTGGGGAATTTAATTTCGTGCAGGTTCCTCTGCAGCCGAGCGTTTCCCCCATCGGAGGTCCACTGGTGCCTGGGCGAGCGTGGACAACTCAGTGCACCCGACTCCGAGTCTCTCCGGCACGGACAGAGATGTGTGGTGATGGATTTTAGAGTGGCTGGGGGGAAGCGGGGTGGACTCACTCAAGTTTGGGCAGGGCTGTTAAAGAGGAGGTGGTGGGGGGGGGCGATGACAAGCCAACTTCAGAGAAAAGTAAAAAAGCAATCAGTCGTGCCGCTCATTTTCCAGAGTACGGGTGTATTATTGAATCAAAGACAGTGAAATGAGAAATGGGTCCTGTCTGACCCGAAGATATGTAGAGAGGAAATAATGTTGTCTGTGTCTTAATGTTACCCCGACTCCAGCAACCTAACAGGGCCGCCTGGCCGCTACATTTAAACCTTGTGATCGAGCCGGGTCCCTCACAGGAAAGCAGTTGTAGTTATGTAGTTATCTCCACATTGCACATGTTGTATATATTTTATTTAAAATGTATTACTCTTTGTAGCGAACGCTGCTTTTTGCTAGGCAGATCAGGCAAACGTGAAGCCCGTTCATTCCCCTGCGTAGTCCTGTGTTTCCTCTTTGTTTGAGACCGGGAACAATTGGTGATTGTCTAGTGTGAACACTTTGATGTAATGTTGAAAATAGTACAAAATGACCTCTTTGGCTGTGTAAAAATAACAGTTTGCCAATTCACATTGCACAGGCTGTCTCCTGGCAAAACCTGTGAAATGGATTATAATACATGAGGCCGCCATTATGTGTTCATGAAAAACTATTCAGTGAATCCTTTCACCAGAGAATTGGGCCAAATAAGCAGGGAATTCTGCTCCAAGTCTGTACAACCAAAATCTAGCTCACATTACTAAACACATGCATTTCATTATGAAAGAAGACAATGCAGGTTTTCTGAGGTTCTTCATTTCACACGGGGCATTAGACCCAGGTGGAAAGCCACCACTGAAAAATGATTACACTGCATTTCATGATACAATACAAATATAACTAAACGCTAGCATGCTAGCATAAGAAAATATACCTAACAAGTTAAATCTCTAGTGTTTACTGCATTCAAAGCCCAAAGTGGTGCTTTTATTGGGGATAGTGTGCTGGTCTCCTCCCTGGTTAAGAGCAGTGACTCCGACGAGTCAGGAAGAGCTATTTTATTGACCGCTGCTGTGCATCTCACTCCAGACACGCGTGCACCGTGCTTTCAACAAACCCATCCGCGTTATTATTAAACGCTCAGAGAGAGTGACGTAGGATAAAGCAAGAGATGGGTCAAACCATCCAGGAGGCCATGGAAAGAAAATGACATGTTTACAATATGGGCATGTTGAGTCACAGCAGTGCGTTTTTCGTATTTAATCAAGTGTTTCCTCCCACTGTCGTCAGGTACAGAGACGACCCACAATAAATCCATCTCTCCTGCTCG